ATAACACACTACTGAATGCGTCTTTAGATAGCCCTGTCCTGGTGGTATTTTCAATAGCCACTAACCTTGCCTGGTACAGTATGGGGGTTGTAAATTGGCATGGAAATTTAAAGCAGGTTCTTGTTGGTGCACAGCACAAATTAGTTACATATGAGGATGGTAGTTTTTTCATCTTCAGTTGTCTCTGATGCAGCTTATACAAAATAATTGTTCTGTTAACTGAATACCACTTTGTAATTAAAAAAAAAAAAGTTGCAGCTGTTTTGTTGACATTCTGAATGCTTCTAAGTAAATACAATTTTTTTTATTAAAAAAAAATAAATATATTGCTGGCTAGGCTGTGGTAGCTCACACATATAATCCCAGCACTTTGGGAGGGTGGGCGAGGTGGGAGGATAGCTTGAGACCAGGAGTTCAAGACCAGCCTGGATGACAGAGTAAGACCCTATCTCTTTTTTAAAAAAATATGAATATATTATATTTATGTATGTGTACATATACAGGGTGGTCATGAAGTTCATGTATATATAAGCAAGTTCATTGAAGAAAAACATTAGATAGATTCCAATAATGAGGCATCCTACAGTATCCCCAGTCAGTACTTAGTTCAAGTACAAGTTAATTGTATAATAAGCAAGGTGCTTATTATAACTTATTAAAACAGTGTTGCTAGTGTGCCACCTTTTGTGTAAAATGTGGGAAAGATATATCTGTGTTAACTTGATTATATATAAAATAGTTTCAGAAGGATTGAGAAAACTTGAAACACTGTTGTCTACAGGGCAGTTAACTGGGCAATTTGTGCTTCTATTCATTTTACCTTTTAAAGTTTGAACCATGTGAATAAATCATCCAATCAAAAGTAAATAAAATTATATTTTAAAAGAACATATATCCCAAAGTATAAAATAAATATCCATGAATCTATACTGATATATATAAATGAATAAATAAGTGAGAGGAAATAGATAAATCTCCTATGTAGAAGAATTTCAAAGAAGTGTGTATAGATACTCAGACTTTAATAAAAGGGGATATAACTCTCCATTCTTTAAGCAGGGTCTGCTCCTAGTGCCTTACTTACAAAGAATATAGTATGAAAAGGGCAAAAACCAAGTAGCTTTGCAATGAAGAAACTTGGCAAATACCAACTCAGCTATTATCAACAGTGATGTCATGTTGATACCATACCCTTGTTGTGATGTGATGAGAATGGCATTTTACCTTTGTGTTCTGCCTCTCCAAACTCCATTACCCTAGTTGGATCCCGAGAAAAACATTAGGTACATTCCAATAATGAGGCATCCTACAAAATACCCAGTCAGTACTTAGAACAGCTAAGATTGTTAAGACTCAGGAAAGTCTGAAAAACTGTCACAGTCAAAAAGAGGCCTAAGGGTACTCAACTTAAGGTAATGTAGTATTGTGGATGTTTGAACAGAGAAAGGATATTAGGTAAAAAACTAATCTGATAATGTGTTGCTATGTGGTCATTAATTCTAGTAAATGAACCATACTAACATAAAATGTTAATAGAGGAGAGTGGGTATGAGGTAGTATATAGGAACTCTAACTTTCTATAAATTTAAAACTAGTTTAAAAATACTTTTTAAAAGAGTATATATAATAAATACATGTAAATAAAAAGTAAATGTACAATGTAGTGTCCATGTTTTACTCCCAGAGCTTAACCATAAACCTCCCTAGAGCTTAACCAAAAGCCTGAGCATCTTTTGTTTTGTTTTGTTTTTGAGAAAGAGTCTCACTCGGATGCCCTAGGTAGAGTGCTGTGGTGTCATAGCCCACTGCAGCCTCAGACTCTTGGGTGTCATAGCCCACAGCAGCCTCAGACTCTTGGCTCAGCAGCTTTTTAAGCCCCACAGGTGGTTCTGATAAGTGGCTACAGTTGATACATTGTTTTAGTTATACATTCCTGCTTGAAAACCTAATTTCTGAATTTTTCAAAATCCTAAATAGTAAATCCCTGTTCATGGACAAGTTGGTTTTTGTTTATTTTGTGTAATTATTTAGACCTTTTAAGATGTATGTTCATGGTTTATTTCTCTTTTTTATAGGTGTTTAATGTACCCTTGCCTCAAGACTTCTGCTGTTTTTAAAGCTTGACCACAGTGTTTGCCTGATGGTTGGGTGGCAGTATTTAATCTTCTTTTGCTTTCTTCTTCTTTTATTTATTTATTTTTTTTTTTGAGACAGAGTCTCAAGCTGTCGCCCTGGGTAGAGTGCTGTAGTATCACAGCTCACAGCAACCTCAAACTCTTGGGCTTAAGTAGTTCTCTTGCCTCAGCCTCCCAAGTAGCTGAGACTATAGGTGCCCACCACAACACCTGGTTGGTTTTTTTTGTTGTTGCAGTTGTCATTGTTGTTTTAGGTTTGAACCTGCCAGCCTCGGTATATGTGCCTGACGCCCTACCCACTGAGCTATGGGCGCCACCATTCCTTTGTTTTTTTCAAGCCATATTTTTTGATGTTTTGTTTAAGATAATTTCTGTCTATCCTACCAAACATACATACAAGTCACAATTGTGAATAGCAGAAATCTGTTTTTCACAGATTTCCCAGGCTAGTTATTAGTTTTTCCCATAGGAACTCTATAATTTGTCAGTCATACAGATGAGTATAATATGAAAACATTTGCTAGCCTAGAAAATGACTTTATTGTTTATCATCACCAACAGCTTTCCATCATCTGATACACACATCTATTTTCAATAGTTTTAACACTCCCTGTAATTGCTTTACTTGCTTTTGTATCTCTGAATAATACCAAATTTATATTGACATTTTTTATATATTGACATTATTAATACTGTTTATTAAGAAGATTATTTTATATTTTCTCTCCAAGCTAAAAATTTATTATCTTAATGTTGTCTTCCTTCTCTTGTTGTGTTATTCATTCTTCGTTGCCTTTGTTCAGGACTTCTGCTTTCAAAACAGTATTAATGATCTGTATGATTTACCAAAAATAGTTTCTGGAGAGAAGTGCTCCTTGTATGTTTTTTTCCATTTACTTATTTTATAATCTACACTTTGATGCCTCTTTCCTACCTAACCGATAGCTTCAGCCTTTCTTCAGGAGCTTGCTCTGGTCTCTTCTTGTTCCAGTTCCTTGCGTTAAGTTTTTGAAATATAAATTTCATCATGTTACTGCTTTGCTCTGGGACCCTGTATCGCTCTCTCAGATAGAAGAACAATATGAATGCACAGCATTTATGGATCGAGTGCTGAGAGTTTTTATAGCCATTGAGTAATTTAATTTTGGCAAAAACCCTATAAAGCTAACTTCCTATTATGATCCCCATTTTATAAGCAAGAAATTGATATAGAGAGGTTAAGCAACTTATCTAAGGTGCTGTAGTTAGCAGGTAGCAAAGCTTGAGATGCCAGCTCGGTTGACTCCAGGTTTCTGTGTGGGGCTCTGTGCATTTTTGCCTTTTTTCTAACCAATGCTCCCCAGCCTCATTCTTCAGTCACAAAGCTCCAGTTACCCTCTTCCATTTACCTTGTAATTTCTTTTTTTTTTTTTTTTTTTTTT